GAGGCGGATGAGGCTAACTCCAGCCATCATTTCAGCCACGGGCCTCCTTGAGTCCAGAACCTTCCTCCCCACCACCAGCCCCTTCAGCAGGAAGCCCTGGATGCTGCCTGCGGAGCCTTGTCTCTGAAGGGATGGTGCTGGCTCTGGCCACGGATGGTGCTGGTGGGTCCCGCTCGGGGAAGAGGATCGTGTGACTCACAAAGCTGGGCGGCACGTCTTTAACAGCCTTCAGTCACGATGGCTGCACCTTCTTTAACTGTGCCCCATCCACGGCCCCTGGCAGGGAGTTCCCACAGTGTCACCTCCTGGAGCCCTTTCTCAGTGATCACCTGGGCAGATGTGGGAGGAAGGTGATAGCTGTAGCCGTTGCAGCAGAAGCACGGTCCCCATGAGCTCACTCATCCTCAGCTGTCATTTTGTCTCCTCTCCTCAAAAATACCTGATGTTGATGCACCAGTTTTATGGCACAGCCAGTTCCTAGCCTGGCCCTCGATGGCCGGGTTTCATGTGTGCCACCTCCCTACATGGAGAAGGATTACCTTCTGGCATAATTTACTCCTGCCGCCCCACCATGGCCTTGCTTCACAGAGCCTTGGGTGTCTGGACTCCACCAGCAGAGGACTAGACCCCTCTCTCTTGGTGGCCCCTTGCCAGGTGGACCAGTGTATTAGTCCATTTTCACACTGCTGATGAAGACATACCTGAGACCAAGCAATTTACAAAAGAAAGAGGTTTGAAGGACTTACAGTTCCACGTGGCTGGGGAGGCCTCACAATCATGGTGGAATGCAAAAGGCACTTCTTACATGGCAGTGGCAAGAGAAGAATGAGAACCAAGTGAAAGGGGTTTCCCCTTATAAAACCATCAGATCTCGTGAGACTTATACACTACCACGAGAACAGTATGGGAGAAACTGCCCACAATTCAATTATCTCCCACCAGGTCCCTCCCACAACACATGGGAATTATGGGAGTACAATTCAAGATGAGATTTGGGTGGGGACACAGCCAAACCATATCTTTCCACCCCTGGCCACTCCCAAATCTCATGACCTCACATTTCAAAACCAGTCATGCCTTCCCAACAGTCCCCCAAAATCTTAACTCATTTCAGCATTAACTCAAAAGTCCATACACAGTCCACAGTCTCACCTGAGACAAGGCAAGTCCTTTCCACCTACAAGCCTGTAAAATCAAAAGCAAGTTAGTTACTTCCTAGATACAATAGGGGTACAGGCATTGGGTAAACACAGCTGTTCCAAATGGATGGAATTGGCCAAAGCAAAGGGGCTACAGGCCCCATGCAAGTCCAAAATCCAGCAGAGCAGTCAAATCTTAAAGCTCTGAAGTGATCTCCTTTGACTCCATGTCTCACATCCAGATCATGCTGATGCCTTGGGCAACTCCATCCCTGTGACTTTGCAGGGTACTGTCTCCATCCTGGCTGCTTTCATGGGCTGGCATTGAGTGTCTGCAGATTTTCCAGGCAAATGGTGCAAGCTGTCAGTGGATCTACCATTCTGGGGTCTGAAGGACAGTGGCCCCCTTCTGACAGCTCCAATAGTCCATGCCCCAGTAGGGACTCCGTGTGGGGGCTCTGACCCCACATTTCCCTTCTGCACTGCCATAGCAGAGGGTCTCCATGAGGGCCCCGCCCCTGCAGCAAACTTCTGCCTGAGCATCCAGGTGTTTGCACACATCTTCTGAAGTCTAGGCGGAGGTTCCCAAACCTCAATTCTTGACTTCTGTGCACTCGCAGGCTCAACACTACATGGAAGCTGCCAAGGCTTGGGGTTTCCGCCATGGCTCGAGCTCTAGATTGGCCTGTTTCAGCCACAGCCAAGCTCTAGATTGGCCCGTTTCAGCCTCAGCTGCACACAGCACAGGGACCCTGGACCCAGCCTGCAAAACCGCTTTTTCCTCCTAGGCCTCTGGGCCTGTGATGGGAGGGGCTGCTGTGAAGACCTCTGACATGCCCTGGAAACATTTTCCCCATGGTCTTGGGGATTAACATTCAGCTCCTTGTTAGTTATGCAAATTTAGTTAGCCAGCCTGAATTTCTCCTCAGAAAATGGGATTTTGTTTTCTATTGCATTGTCAGGCTACAAACTTTCCAAACCTTTATGTCGTCCTTCCCTTATAAATCTGAATGTCTTTAACAGCACCTATGTCACCCCTTGAATGCCTTGTTGCTTATAAATTTCTCTGTGAGATACTCTAAATCATCTCTCTCAAGTTCAAAGTTTCACAAATCTATAGGGCAGGGGCAAAAATGCCACCAGTTTCTTTGCTAAAACATAACAAGAGTCACCTTTGCTCCAGTTCCCAACAAGTTCCTCATTTCCATCTGAGACCACCTCAGCCAGGACTTTATTATCCATATCACTCTCAGCATTTTGGGCAAAGCCATTCAACAAGTCTCTAGGAAGTTCCAAACTTTCTCACATTTTCCTATCTTCTGAGCCCGTCACTGTTCCAACCTCTACCTGTTACCAGTTCCAAAGTTGTGTCTACGTTTTTGGGTATTTTTTTCAGTACTGCCTCACTCTACTGGTACCAATTTACTCTATTAGTCCGTTTTCACACTGCTGATAAAGACATACCCGAGACTAGGCAATTTACAAAAGAAAGCGGTTTAATGGACTTACAGTTCCACGTGACTGGGGAAGCCCCACAATCATGGCAGAAGGCGAAAGGCACTTCTTACATGGCGGTAGCAAGAGAAGAATGAGAACCAAATGAAAGGGGTTTCCCCTTATAAAACCATCAGATCTGTGAGACATATTCACTACCACAAGAACAGTATGGGAGAAACTGCCCCCATGATTCAGTTATCTCCCACCGGGTCCCTCCCACAACACATGGGTATTATGGGAGTACAATTCGAGATGAGATTTGGGTGGGGACACAGAGCCAAACCGTATCAACCAGGCACATCCTGCATGCAAGAGAAAGCCTTTACCAGGCTGTGTTCCACTTCCCAAAGCCCCACTGCCCCTCCAGCTCACCCTCACTTGGCCCTGTGATAATGGCTTCCACAGCTAGAAGGGCAGGTGAGCCCTGCTTTTCTGACTGGCCAACAAGGCACCATCCAGTCTTCTCCAGCTGATGCACACATGTGCTTCTGTGGAGGGAGCACAGACGCCATCCTGTTGGATTCACTGGGAGGTCGGGGTGCCAGCCTGTCCTACCCACCTTGGCCTTCTCACCTTGAGCCACTGAATGGGAGGAGCTGGTGTGAGCCCCTTATCAGCCAAGGAGGCCGTAGACAGGGTCACTGCAGAGGCCATCTGGGTGCAGGGGAGCAGGGTGAGGCTCCTTTGTTCCCTCCCACCCCAGTTCCCAGGATCCTGAGGAGGGAAGCGGAAGTGAGTGGCCATTTTCATGACCTCCCCGTGGCACTGTTCTTGCGCTCCCAGGTCAACCTCGCCTATGCCTACGAGACCAAGGATGCACTGTGCTTGGTCCTGACCATCATGAACGGGGGCGACCTGAAGTTCCACATCTACAACATGGGCAACCCCGGCTTCGAGGAGGAGCGGGCCTTGTTTTATGCGGCAGAGATCCTCTGCGGCTTAGAAGACCTCCACCGCGAGAACACCGTCTACCGGTGAGTGGAGGGCACTGAGGCCTTCCAAGTCTAAGTCCGAGAGGGTGGGGCCAGCGCCTCCGCACCCTCGGGCAGGTGGTCGCCATCGCTCTGGGAATCAGCCCTGGTCAGCACCAGGGGAGGGTGCAGAGTCGGACAGACTTTCCACTCCAGGAACCTGGGGCCCCCGGCACTGAGGAAGCGAGGTCGCCACCCTCTGGCTCGTGTTCTCCAGCCTCCAAAGTTTAGGGAAGTCAAGCAAGTGAAATGATGTTCTCGAAACTGACTACTCCTTCAAGTCAAGGAGAACGGGCCGTGACCACTGCTCCCTCCAGTTGCCTCCATCCCAGCACCCAGGGAAGGTCAGAAGGGGCCTGGTGGCCGCTATCTGGGATCAGCCCTGGGAAGACTTGGGTGGGGTCACTGCCCACAAGCAGAATAGAGTGGCCCATTGTCCCACCCCACACTGTCCTCAGCTTGTTCTGGTCTTCACCCCCTACCCCCCCCCGACCTCAATCCTATAGGGACCTGGACATTGTAGGGCCAGGGGTCCAGATTCCACTCACAAGGAGCAGTGCCCTTCAGATTTTTCTCCCAGTCCTTCTGAAAGAATTTTGAAAATCTCTGTGACACTGCATTTTACGTAGACATTTGAAATATTCCATCATATTGAAAATAGTGACAATTTTTGATATATTGAAATTGAGCAGTTACATTACACTCTTCAAGGGATCCAGTGGAATCTCTAGTTGCTATAGCGAATTGATTTGCACCTGCATTTATCCAAAAACTGCACAGAAAGCTCTTTAGTGATGAGGAATTTTCTATCATTTCCTTCACTCTCTCCATCCCCCCAGAATGTTAATAATATTTTTTGCCTGAAAGTCTTTCATTGATGAGCGTACATCTCTGTAACAAATATATGGATACATATAAGAGTTTTTGAAATTCCATTTGACCAGAAGGCCCTAAAACAAATATATGGATACACACAAGTTTTTTTGAAATTCCCTTTGACCATAAGCCTCTAAGTGTTAAAACAACTTCTCTGGCCAGGTGTGGTGGTTCATACCTGTAATCCCAGCACTCTGTGAGGCTGAGGCAGGCAGATCACCTGAGGTCAGAAGTTCGAGACCAGCCTGGCCAACATGGTGAAACCCTGTCTCCGTTAAAAATACAAAAAGTAGCTGGACGTGGTGGCACATGCCTGTAGTCCCAGCTACTTGGGAGGCTGAGGCTAAAGAATCGCTTTAACCTGGAGATTGCAGTGAGTCAAGATGACCACTGCACTCCAGCCTGGGTGACGGAGCAAGACTCTGTCTCAAAATAAAATAAAATAACTTTTCCTTTTTTTTTTTTTTTTT